GTACAGGAGCTCTTTGTAGCAGCGCCAAAGCAGTCCTTGGCATTGTTGAAATGCTTGGTCCTATGTTCTCGGCCTCTTGGTGCTCGATGGTCCATTGTTCCATCATCTCATTGTGGTGTCGCCTGTTCTCCAGGTTCGCCCCGGCAGCTTTCACGAGGTCGTTCTCAAGTTGAGCTATGCGGCGGTCGAGCTGGAGGTTCTGCTCGTCCAGGGCAGCATCAAAGTGTCGCTTGTTGCGAGCTTCGGCCACACGAAGCTTGACCTTCAAGTCACTGATCTGGCTTCTACGCTCCAGGAATCTTCCGAGCTTGTAGCACAGAACGAGGATGGCGATCATGAAAAAGAGCGCCAAACACCAAAGGAAGTACCATCCATCGTCGGGGTCATCTTCCAGACTGCAAACTTCCTCACTGGCTAACTGTGCGTGGCCACCGAAGAACTTTGCAGTGACGGCCTTGAGCTGGCGAAAAAGACCAGCAATGCCATCGGGGACCTCAAGGATGTAGTACCCGATCTTGCACTGCAGTTCTCCTTGGTGGAGTTGTCCACAACAGCCAGTTCATCTTCTAAATATGGTTCTTCCTGCACGCTCTCTAGGTTGTTGGTGTGGTTGAGTTGTAGGTTGTCGTTGGTGAAGTCGTTCTTTGTGGGTTTCTTCTTCTTCGTCTTCTTTGACTTGGGGTCGGCAAACTCTTGCCGGCTTTCTTCTCTTTCTTCCTTGCTCTTCTTCTTGGCGGCGGTGTAGTGAGGATCCCAAGCCAGTTTGATTCTGTGTCGCCTGATTCGATCTGCTAAGAGTCCTCTGGTCGAACTCTTTGTCAGGCCGTCAGCAAACTGTCTCTCAGAGCTGATCCATTTGAGGCAGCCACCAAGTTCACATACTTGCTGCTTGGCCACTTTGATCTCCAGGCAAGTGCGCTTGTCCACGGATGAACTTGCTGAAGTTGCTGTTTCCTTGTGCCGGGCGTCGTACAATGCCTTTGCATCAGTGATCAAGGTGGACTTCTTCAGCGCTGAGACTTCTTGTAGTCGTTCTCGAAGGGAAGGTGCTGGGTCGAAAATGATCGACCAAAAGCGGCTGATGTACTCTGCCGTATCACTGGCTCCACCTGCTGCTTGAGCTTCTGCACTGAGACTCGAGCGAGCGACGCGAGGCAACTTGTAGCTTCGCCAGTCCACGATGTGGTAGGGCGTCTCTTGCTCAAAGGAGTCCTCAGGCACCAAAATGGCCAAATGGCCACCTTGAGAAGAATGGTCTTCTCGTGCGGCATGTGAAGCGTCAAACATGATCACCAGTCTGACTTTGTGGAGATCGTCGTAGTTCTTGAGTGACTGGAAGGGCTCGTACTTCAAGGTCACATCGGCATTCTCCTTGGCGAACTTGAGCAGTGCATTTGCTTCCACAATGGCTCGAAGCTTGCCACTGCGTTGTTGTCCACTTATCAGGCTGCAGCTAGCTTGGAGATGAGGTTGTGATTGAACTCCACGCCATTGGAGGCTTCCAAGTAGGGCACGAAGCTGGGCCTTGTCTTGGTCATTCATGGGGTCTTCAGCTCCACGCCGGTGTATGTATGGTCACGGGCTTGACCTAAGTGCTTTTGAGAAAGAGTCCATGCGAAATTCTGAAGTCGAAAACCTCCTTCAAGCGGCGTTCAGCTGCAATGTATGTGGGACAACTTCCGTCTCCTGCACCAAGCATGTCATCAACGTGCAGGGCAATGAGTCCGCATGGATCGGAGGAGCCGTCGTCATTGCGATGATGAAGTAAAAAATGTGGAACCCATCCTTCTTGAGTGAGGCGGCGCGTGGCTTCTTGCCACCAACGACGTGGTGCATCCAGTTGTCCGTAGACCGGCTTGATGAGAGCCATGCGGGTTTCTGGTCCACATCCAAGGATCTGTAAACAGTCGCTGGGCAACCGAAGCCATAGCTGTTTTGTTTGGGGCATCCCTTGCAAGACGGCAGTCGCCACATCTGCTGACCAGCCATGCCAATGTAGCGTCGCAGAGATGGAGAGAAGGAGGCTTCGGGCCAGTCAGGATGCTGTCGGAGACTGAGTATCCAGGTTGCCAGCTAAGGCATCAGCATCATTGTAGCCACGAACCACTAGGCGGGCCTTCGCCCTTGGTGAGCCGTCAGGGTTCTTCGCCCACTTCAAGAGCATCCTGCTGGACAGAGTTCTTTGAGCATCGGCCTTATCGGAGGTAGTGAACTCCCAAACTCCACATTCAAAGAAGCTGCGAAGCTCCTTGCATTTGGCTTGATAGAACAGCTGCTGCTCAGCTTGGGTGAGGCTTTTCTCACGGATCTCGGATCATGTGGCGCAATTGCTGCGTCTTCACTTGCTGAGCTGCTTTGCGGATCGGCCGGATTGAGGTTGGTGAGCTTGTAGACATGTTTGCAGTCATTCCCAACTCACGACGTGTCTCGGCTTTGATCTGAAAGATCGTGCAGCCTGTCCACTTGGTTGGCAACTTCTTTGGAACGTCTTTGGAGTGCTGCTGGAACACGTTCTCGGTCTTGAATCGGTCAGTAGTCGAAGAACAATCCTGACCAGGTTCTCTGTAGATGGTGACGCGCATGTCGTCCAGGTGCTCAATCGGCGCGGGTAGATCTGCCTGATCTGAAGGAATGAACTTCTTTGAACGAGGTCGGGCATGATGTCGAATGAGGCAGCCACCCTTGACTTCCCAGAAGTCAGCCAACTTGTTCTTCAGCTCCAGGTTGTGAGTGATTTGTTGAAGGTCCATCCTGAAGGTAGTTGAGTCTGGTCAAGGTCTTGCACATCGAAGGCCATTTCAACAGCTTCGCCCGGAGGTTTCTCGTACGGGCTTGGTTGGTCATGATGTCGTGCTCGTTGAGGTCCAAAGGATAGCGTCTGCTGACGATCCAATCGGAGTCGCTGCTGTTGAAAAGTTTCTGGTCCTGGAGGAGCTCGAAATACCTCAGAAGTCACTGGAGCCAGATGCACAGGAGTGTGAGGCACCGTTGGTGGCTCTGGCTCTATGGATGGCTTTGGTTGATCAGACATCTCATCGGACTCGGGAAGCTCTGGTACAGGAGGTAGTTCAAGAGCATTACGAGGCACGGTCTGCACTGGTTCTCGAAGTAGGCCGAGAAATCTGCTGGCGTCTCATCTCCACATTGGAGTCATACTGAAAGGAACCGTCGAGGATCTTCAGGATCTGGTTCAGGGCCTCTGGGTCCTCGGCTTTGTCGATGTTGAAGTCCTCGCAAAGCTTCCAAGCCGTGCCGGACAAACTGCCCAGCAAGTTCAGGATGGCCTCTCCTTGTCTCTTGGACAAGGACATCTTCTTGTAGTAGATGGTGATCTGCTTCCGCCGTTCGCAGTATCCCGTTAGGGAGCCATCGAAGAGCGGGATGAAACTATCGCGAGCTGAGTGATTGTCAAGCTCGGCTTTCTTTTCCGATGACATACTCGGCCAAGTAGGTGAGGTAGAAGGTGGTCACCAGTTAGGCCACAAACCAAGAAGTAGCGCTCAGCAGGGAAGTAGAGCTCGTCAAGAAGCACTGCTCCTGAGCGTGAAGAAGAAGCTTGGGTTGTAGGTGAAGTTTCCGAGGAGGTTGGAGTGAACCTGGAAGGTGTGGAGGTTGTAGTTGTAGTGCGGAGTGGCAGGGAGCGGTCCGTGGATGACCGCTCCGCTACCAATGTCACTTGGACAGAGGTAGCAAAGCTAACGCAGCCAAGTGGAACCGAAGGACAAACGAAGTTCCTTGGTCGAAGCGAAGCTCTCGAAGTCCTCGCACCCTTTTCTACGCCATAGCTCGTGAGCGTACGCAGTTCCCACCACTGTCGGGGTGGTTAGTGCCGAAAAGGGCAAGTGGAAATGAAACATGCTGATGCCTTGCCTTGCCATGCTTCAGTGGCATGAGTTGAACTGTGAAACTCACATGCCTTTATATTCTGTGAGGCTCTCCAGCGAGTCCCCCTCGATACTGCTGACCCGATGATCCGTAGGGACGCTCCGATTCCGCGCAACCTGCGTGTGGATGCCTTTCGCAACTGTCATTCCACGCTCGACTTGCGTCCACTGCGACCGACTGTCCGCGGCTCCGCGACACTTGTCTCCTGAGCACTCCGAAGGATATTGCTCTGCAATTTTCACACTAAAGACTATCAGATATCATCCGTTTGATAGCTATGCGCGCGCAGGTTGCACGTATAGTCCGCGGATCCGCGACACTGCGCAGACTCTCGTCCCAAACTCTTACACACTTTCGTCTGCGGCTACGCGACAGTTTCCTGTCTGCGGCTCCGGGACAGAGTTTCCTTCCGTCTGCGGCTACGCGACAGTATCCTACGGCAACGTACTCTGTCTGCGATTCCGCGAAACAGTTTCGTGCCCGAGCCAAACCCAGAAGAGGTTGCGCGCTAAGCAGTCTCCTGCGAGCATTTCTATGCTCTGTTTGCGGCTCCGCGACACGTTTTTCTCCCGCATGCCCTGCCCGCAAAAGAAGTGCGCTTGCCGGCTGCTGCATTTCAACATTTCAGACTTGCACTTTACTTTGTCCTCCTTGGTACTCGCGGGCGCGGGTGCCTCACCTCCTCCTGCTACCGCTTCCTCCTACTCTCTCGGGGTTCAGGCCTCACCTTCCACTTCTTATTGCTTGGTTCGCGGGTGCGGTTCTCTCACACTGACACTCTCACTCTCGCCCTCGCCCGCCCTCACCCATACTCACTCTCCCCCGCACTCACGTTTAGACTCACTCCCTCTCCACTCTCATTCATGCACGGTTTTAAATTGCAATTTTTGGCTAGCCATTTTGCGTCACTGCTTCGTGCTCGCTGGTGCTACTCTCCCTACTGCCGCTCCCCCGGCACGCATCCCTTGACCTACAAGTGCAACAGATATACATTCCACACTGTTTGGGGTCTCTTGCCGGGATAATTTTCTTGTACGTGCGCGAACGTTTCGGACAGTGGTTGCCAGAATGTCATGTGTTCGGGCTCAGGCACACATATATTAAGTTCACTTCAGGAGGTCCAACGCCATGCAGTATGAGATGCTGTCTGTAGCAGTTGAAGCTGTCAATCGTCCGACCAGCGTGCAAAACCGGACAGTTTCACAGTCTCCCCAATACATCAAAGACTCTTGGCAGCAACTAGTAGAATTTCCTGAAATGGGTGTTCTTGGTTAGAAAGAACATATTTTTAAAGGGCTAAGCCGATCCTCATAGTAACGTGACTTCTTCCTGTACAGCTAGGTTGATGCAAATGGCGTTTAAAGATGGTTTGTTGTTTACCTCCAGTGACTATTGTTCTTGGATGAGTTCTGTCAAGCCTTAGTTGCAATTTACATCCAAGATACCTTCTACCAGCGACAAAACATATGGACGCTAAAATGAAGTTGGCTTGATTGAAGTTGAATGATGTTGAATCACTTAATGGAACTGTTTCAGAAGGACCCCTTCTTTTGATGGTTGAGCTTCTGAAGAACAGATCTCCAAATTTTCCAAAAACTTGAACTATTGTGCGCGACATTTTGTTGGTATTTTAGTGTATTTCTAGGTGATCGCTTTCAACGCGACAGCTCAGACATTCAAAGCAGAAAAACAAAATGACCACCAGCTGTCCCAAGGACTCATGGGTGCCTGTTCATCCTGTTCCTGCGCATCTGATCATCCAGAGGCTGCCTTCATCCTACAGGCGGTCACGACTTTCGACAGCTTGGGATTTGTTGGATAATATCGTTAGAACTTTCTGAAGTCCACTTACACATGCAACCAGTTGTTGCATTCCCTAGGGAATCATTTTTTTAGGGAACTTCTTCACCTTCATGGACCCGTGGTATTGAAATTAGAGCCTCTATAGTCAGACCGTCTGCTGAGGCCATCAGCCTCCAATTTGTTCATTGGTAGTTGGTAGTTGGTAAGTCCTGTAGGTTTTGTGATGTATAAATTGTATACCTTGTACTCATTGACTCATTTGTGTCTTTTGTTTGGTTTTTGTTTTGTTTCTGAACTTTTGGAGTTTTTGTGAGCAATGTGCACTGAAGACCATATATGTAGCGGGATATGCACTAGCCCTTTTGATAAAGAAAAGAGCGCATGGTAGCGGAGCACTGATCGAGCTAACCTCTCGAGAGCTCCAGGGAGAACAAAAGCCCCTTTTCATACAGGGAATACTCCATAGGTTGAGCCACAGGTGCCGGTTGAGTTGAGTTGGTTGAAACTTGGTCGTGGTTGCGCATTGCTTGTTGTACAGCATTGACAGCATTGAGCATTGTGGTCTGGACATTGCCTTGTTGTGTTGAACGTTGGTACAACGCATTGACATTTCTGGCATTTCTGGACTGAAGTGAACAGGGAGGGCCCACTCATTGCTGGAACAAGGCATGGAAGAGTTGAGAGAGGTCCTTGAAAACTTTGATAAACTCAGGCAGCAGCAGACGCGGTGACTACCAAGGTCCTAAGCCGATGGATGTTGACCGTGTGCAGGACAAAGGCAAAGGAAAGGAAGGAAAAGGCGGTGGTCAGAAAAGTAAAAGGGAAAGACACAAAAGGAAAAGGAAAGAAAGTTAAGGGTGACCAGCAGAAAGGCAAAGAATGCAACGACAAGGGCAAAGGCAAAGGAAAAGACCCGAAAGGCAAAGGAGTTGGTGTTTGCTTTCCAGGCTATACATGTGGCAGACCAGGACACATGGCGCAATCACAATGTGAGGCAAGATGACTTCTCAAGTTGCCCTGAGGAGTTGAAAGTGAGACAGTTCCATGAGGAAACAGATGAGGCCTCAATCATCATCGACAGTGGCGCTGATGTGGCGCTATTCCCCTTGCATACGTCAGAGTTTGGGACAGAAGGGCTGAACCTGGATTCTGAAACGAAACTTCAAGATGCTCAGGGAAACCGAATAGCATCGCGTGACATCGAAGGGTAAGAAATCGTTCTGGGGGAAAATGTGGTCTTCAGTTCGAAAGTGAGCCAACCCATCTTGTGCTGTGGGCGCCTGTTAGAGCACGGATGGGGAACCAACGGCAGAGAACTGTTTTTGGAGAATGGAGACCTTCGAGCCCCGCTTCATTTGCAGGACAAGTCATTGGTCGTGCGTGGCAGAGTTGGGGTGATTAAAGACAATGAGGATTGCTTGGAGGTCCAGGTGCCGGAAGCGCTGGAGAAGAGCGCAGGGTGGAAGTTCAATGAGCATGGCATGCTGGTTGGTAGTGTTTTTCGATTTGTTGATCCAACCTTCATCCCAGAGATTGAGGACTTCCCCAACCTGATAATAACCACACTCATTAGGAAAGGAGAGAAGTGGGTCATGTCTGAATTTTTGTGAGGTGAGGAGACAGTTGTTCCAACCGTGACTTTCTTCAGCTATGAGCCAGCAACGCCAGAAGAGATGGGATTGTTTGCTGAAGACCAGAAGAGTTTGGAAGCGAAAGAAGACCGAAAGAAAGTGATCAAGAAGGCAGTAGAAGATATGAGCACCAAGCCCACCGAGAGAAATGCTTGAAGATGAGAAGAGAGAGGATGAGAGAAAGGAGGAACTAGAGTGCATGCTGCGTTTGGATCTTGTGGAGGTGGACAATGTTCACATCAACGGGGTCGTTTTGACTAAGGATTCAACCTTGTCGACGTTGAGGTTTCGTTTTTGTTTTGTGCTTTCTTGAGCATTTCAGGCAGTGGTTCCAAGATCGAGGTCTACGCGGGCATGGAGTTACTCAACGCCAAAATTTGATGAGTGAAGCAGGCACTTGAGAAATGAAGGCAGTCGAAGAAGTGCCATTCCAGAAGTCAGCTTTGACTTTTGCTATGCAAGGGCGACAGGTTCAGATTCCAAGGCGGCAAGGGCAGTATGTTGGTTGGTGGCCATTGACAGTCAAACGAGTTGATTAGTTTCAGCTAGACACTGGGCTATCGTACAGGAGTGACAATGAACTTATGACTCGCCAGATCCTTAAGCTCCTGATCAATGCAAGGCATTGGTTGGGCCCCACCGCGAGATTGAATCGTACGAAGCTAGGTGACCACGGTGACCATTCGTTCCTGTCAGAAAACGCAGTTGATCAAGGTTGGAAATTGGCAGGAAGCTTCATCGAGCAACTACAATCCCGCTTGGACATCAAGGTGGTGTCAGATCATTCTTTGTGGACTTGGGCTGGAGGACGTGCCAGGTGGGTGTTGAACCGGTTCCAACTGGTGCATACGAACTTGTATATGGAGGACCATACGAGTGACATCTGGCAGATTATGGGGAACCAGTCCATGGCTACATCCGCAGCAACAAAAGGAAGCTCGGTGGCACCTAAAGTCGAGAGCCAGGATACTTACATCCTGACCGATGGAACCCAGATAGTTTTGAGCAAGTGCATCACGAGGACAGATCAGGAGTGATTGAAGTGTTTGCCCATCTACAAGAGCTTCAACGCCTTCTCATGGGAGCGCCAAAAAGACTTTGGAGGACGCGTCGTTGCCGCAAAAAGACGAACAGAAGCCCTTCCAGGGGGGAAGGGTGAGATCCCTAGAGAGCGCATCACGCTCAAGTTCAGAGATGAGGATGCAGAGTTGGTGACGGCAAAGGTCTTAAAAGTGGCTTGGAGAGAGATGATTTTTCTTCAGCCAAGAATGATTCCCGGTTTGCAGATTTTTCCAGGTGGAGAGGGAGAAGGTGGAGATGGTCGAAGGAAAGTTGCCAGTTGAGAAGAGATCGAAAGTCGTGTTTGCAGACGAGAAGACCTTGAATGAGTTGAAGGCATTGCCAACAGGCACGCCGGTGGGGAGTTGACACCCAATCCAGTGACACCTACACTACACTACACCAGCGCCTACCCGCTTGTCTTCATCGTCGACATCAAGGCCGAGAGATGTTTTTGAACTTCCAGAGGAAGAGAGCCCAATGAAGAAGATGAAACATTCAGAAGAAAACCAAAGGAAACCAAGAATCAACTTGGTAAAGCTTGCGCAAAAAAATTATCAGGTGGATGAAGATCTGCCCCCTTTTCCTGAAGACGAGGAGGAGGAAGAAGAAGAGAATGTCAATGACCCTGAGTGTCTTTGGAGAGACGGAGATCAAGCGCCAGAAGAAGATCCTGAGGAGTGGGGTCGAAGAGAAAAGGTTACAAAAGATGGGAGCGCTTGAATCTGCTTGAACTTCGACAAGAGAACACAAATGGAGTGAACTTTTTGACTACCAGGTACGTATATGACTGGAGGAGGAAGCCATGCAAGAAGGAGGATGGGATCGTAGTCAAAAGGTGGAAAAGACGTTCACGGCAGGACTAGCCGGAGAGTTTGCCTTTGCAGAAGGATGAAGGGACGACGTTTTGTCACCAGCTACGTCAGGACATGTACATTACATGTACTCAAAATTCTCCCCGCAGTGTTTCTTCAGAAGGCGAGTGAAGAGGAGGAAGCAAAGTGTGGCGAGGAGAAGCTCAGTCAGGTGCTGGGATGTTTACGACTTCCTACAAGTTCCCCACAAGAAACCTTTGAAGGAGTTGTCGAACTTTGAAGGAGTTGTCGAAGGAAAAGAATACTTGGTAAAGAGAAATCTGCCAGGGCAAAGAGTTGGAGCAAAGGTTCCTTGGTCGTTGGTCAAGAGTTGGACTTCAAGTTCAGTGCAGAATGTCCGTGCCTGTGAAAAGTTGAAGAATGCATCCTTTTGATTTCAGGCTCTGCGCCAACAACGTCTTCTCGCCTAGCATCCAAAGCACTCCGACACAAGTGTGAACAAGATTGAGAAAGTTGGAGGTGACATGAGCTTCTTGAGGAGGAAGTGCAAGTTGACTAGTGAAGGCGTGTGGATACAACCACGCAACTACATACAAGAAATGACAAAACTCTATGAAGACGAAGTCGGGAAGATCAAAGCGCAGCAACTCCCTGCAGACAGTTCAATACAGCTAGAGGACAAGTCAGAAGCATTGACAGACGCCAAGCTGACAATGGTTTACAGGAGCATTGTTGGATCAGGAATATACCGTGCCAAGAGAGGTATGACATTGCCTTCACGGTCAAAGAGTTGGCAAGGTAGCAAACCCAACAGCAAAGGCGTTGCATCGTCTGAGAAAATTTCTTGGGTATTGGAAATCGACAGTTCGTAAAACGCTGGAGAAGCATACATAAAGAGAGTGTTACTGGTGCTTAGAAACCTTAGAAACATTTGCAGACTCTGACTGGAGAAACTTTGGCAGAACTTGGAGCAGAACTTTCCGGATGGCGAGATAGGCACAGTAGAAACGCATGAAGAAGCTGCGTGCCGGAGCAAGCAAGACTGGTTGTTGTAACACGTTTCAAGTGTATTTCATTTCAGGCTCCAAATTTTGATTGAGATGAGTGCACGCTTTCATTTAGGCCCATGAGCTTTGATGTGGTTCCATCAATGAAACTCCTTCCTCCATGGGTGGATACAGTAAGGTGAATACTCAGTCGTTGACAGTTGAGAGTCTTATATAGACTTGGAAACGTGCATTTCTTGCGAGGCAAAGAGCAACTGCAGGTAGCTTTGACTGGAGTTGGGTGTGCGAAGGTGCAAGAGAGAGAGCTTTCTGGGTAGCCGTCTCGGTGCAGTCTTATTCGAAGCAGGGCCATGAAAATGCATGTTGACAACTCCTGCAGAGTTGAAGATGAAAGACGTTTGAGGCTTGCTGAAAGCTTCCCTTTGAACTGGCCAGTCCACAGGACCGTGTGGAAGATGTCCTCACTGGTGCCTTGGGCAACAGTGAGATCATTCAGTACAAGGACTTCTTGAACTCCATCCTGCCAGAGGCAACTGTTTTCTCTCTTCGTTGCCACGAAACTCATACTTTCTACTCTAGTTGAACAATGCCTATAACCCACCCTAAAGCCCAACTATCTTTAAGCGCTGGTAGGAACATGTAGGAACTATGTTTTGATGCCTGCAACTGATCATTGATAGGCAACCACATTTCTCACAGCGATCCTTTTCTGGACTGTTAATAATGATTCTGCTTCAACTTTTTGACTTTTTTACACGCTTCATGTTTGTTTCCTGTGGCACCAATGCGACTCTTTATTATGGAGACTTCTTGGACGAAATCCTGCTGGAGGCATTGCTGATTGACAGATTTGTTTGTGGCCCAATTCTGGTTATTGCGGGTTTGAACATCGGGCTTGCAGATGCCTTATTGCTACGAGCAAGGGCTTTGGGTTTCACATCCTTGTGTTTAATGTCTTTGCGTGAATAAACCTGAACTTAACCTCTTAGAGTCATCGGTGCAGCATGGCTCAAGATAGCTGCTGTTTCAAACAAACATACAGAACTCCCACAGCTACCCCTATACTCGAGCCAGGGTAGCCCCTATCCCAGGGGCCTAGGGAGCTAGCCTGGCGCTACCCATAGGCCTATGCCTAGCGCTATCCATAGGCCTATCCTAGACCTATGCCTAGGCTAGGCATAGGCCTATCCTAGGCCTATGCCTAGCGCTATCCATAGGCCTATTTTAGGCCTATGCCTAGGCTAGCCATAGGTCTAGGATAGGCCTATGCCTAGGCTATCCATAGGCCTATCCTAGGCCTATGCCTAGCGCTATCCATAGGCCTGTCTTCGGCCTACGCCTAGGGTAGCCATAGGCCTATCCTAGGGCATAGGCCTATCCTACATAGGCCTATCCCAGGCCTATGCCTAGCCTCGTAGCCTTTTTCCTCCTGGCCCTCTCCTCCCTGTCCATTGCTCTCCCTCCACCTGCCTCCCGCTCTCCCCTTCCTGCCGGATGCGCCCCGGCAGGATCTGGCACGCAACGACTGACCCCGAATACCAGCGATCACGCAAGGGCACCGGCGCTACGAAAAGGGAGGGAGGGAGAGAAAGCAGCAGAGCAGCACCGCTGTGAGGGGCGCGCGAAACGTCGACGATTCGAGCGCCCCCTGAAAGTGGCGCCGACCTCTGTCTTCCTCCCGCTCCCTTTCGCTTGTCTCCCTCACCCTCCCCCTTCCTTCCTCTTCCGCCCTGTCGCTGCCTGTCCTGCGCGTTCCTGCCCCATCACGCAAGAAAGTGTGAGCGTGCAAGCCACAAGCGCAGGATGCCAACGCCCCCGACCCCTCAATCGGTTTTCTCGCGCAGCTTCGCGACTGCTGCGACTTGGTGCCCCCCTTCAGAAGGTCAACCCGAAGATGTATATAGAGGTAGCAAAGGGGCACCGGCAAGTCAATTTACTTCCAACTGCAGCCACGCCTGCCACAGCCGGAGGGTTGTAGAACTCTCTGATCCACGATGCACGGCATCAATGAAAGCTCCGGCCCGGACCCAAACAAGAGGAGCGACGAAGCAGAAGTCGTCCAGATGCGGGCGGCGGCGGGGAGCCTTTTGCTGCCCGCGGATCCCGCTGGAGGAGCGGCTGTAAGGTTTCGAGAGTCTCCCGGGAAACGCACGCTGGCCGCTGCATCCCCGGACGCAGGAACAACGCCAGAGGCCGGATCCAGCAGGGTCGGCAAAGGTGAGGAGCACACAGTCGGTGTTCCAGGTGCCTTGCTGATGACAGGCAGCAGCGGGGCCGCAGCCACGCCTGGATTGATTCGCAGCAGGTGCTCCACGTAGGCTGCTACCTGCGGCAAAGATTCAGCCACGTGGAAGCGCTGGGGAGGCATGACAATGCCACAGCCGAAGGTCGCACAAAGGATGCCGCCACGCTGGCAGGCGCGGACGCTGCGGGCTTTGCAGGTGTTGCAGTCAGCCGCCTCTGGCGCCCGCACTTGTGCAGGCGGAGTCCGCGCTGCACGCGGCTGCCACCTGCCACAACCAAGGTGTGTGTGTATTCCTCCGGACAAAAAGACGACAACGAACAAAAGGCGACGAAAGAAAGCCGCACCTCTGCCGCCGGCGGTCGCGCAAGCGGGCAGCATGAACCTGCAGCAAATGCTCCTCCTGCGCACGATGCTCTGCAATGCCGCAGGTGATGTGCCCGCGGCGCAACAGAAGGCGGTGCGCCCATCGAGACCGCGTTCGGCGAAGCAGCACCCATGCGGGACGAGCTTCTCATTGCCATCCAGCAGAATGCTAGAGGCGCAAACACAACCACACCAGGCAGCATGCGTAGTCGCCCAACGGTCCTCGAACGCTTGCCGCAGCACGGGGAACAGCTGCTGGCAAGCGAGCTGTAGCGCCAGGCTGCGATCCACGGCGCGGCCACTGAGCCGCAGCCGCACGGCCGAAGGAGCTCCAAAGAAGCCAGCCATCCAAGCTGTATCCAGCAGTGATTCCACCACCACAAAATTTGGAGATACACCGCGAAGAAAGGCGAGCGCCGCACTGCAGATCCGCCCCCGCCGAACACGGCATTGCGGCAGAGCAGGAAATCGTGCCCGCTGATACCCCCAATGAGAAACAAGCCATCAAACCACTCGAGCAAGTTCCGATGGAGCCAAACGCTTTGCGTCAATGGATACAGCAGCGGGCGCGGCGCCGCAGCGTCACCCGGCAGCACACGATCCCAACCACGCGCATCGATCACGGCAAAACCATGGATACACTTGCATGCCGCGCGCACGGCAGCGTAAGGCCCGCAGCTGCATCGCCGTGGTTTCATGCATGTAGGTGCACGACTGACTTCGATTTGCTGTACCGGCTGTGGCCGCAACTCCGCCGCACAGGAAGGGCAAACGTCCAAGTTAGACGCCCACAAGGCATCCGCTTCCATGGCAGCACGGCGCGCGAAGCCGCAAACGTAGGAGCCAAAAGCCGCTAGAAGGATGCGTTGCGCGCCGGGTCCTGCGGGGCCACATCCTGCGCGGGACCGGCGCCGGCTTCCAGTCTCGTGGACGTTTCGCGCGCCCCTCACCGAGGTGCTGCTCTGCTGCTTTCCTCCCCCCCGTCTGTCCCTTTTCGTGGTGCCCATGCCCTTGCGTGATGGGGCAGGAACGCGCAGGACTGGCAGCGACAGGGCGGAAGAGGAAGGAAGGGGGAGGAGGAAGACAGAGGTCGGCGAGCTCTACATGTGCCTACGGCCACTCCACTTTCGGGGGGCGCTCGAATCGTCGACGTTTCGCGCGCCCCTCACGGCGGTGCTGCTGTGCTGCTTTGCCTCCTTCCCTCCCTTTTCGTAGCGCCGGTGCCCTTGCGTGGGTCAGTCGTTGCGTGCCAGATCCTGCCGGGGCGCGTCCGGCAGGAAGGGGAGAGCGGGAGGCAGGTGGAGGGAGGCAGAGAGCAACGGACAGGGAGGAGAGGGCCAGGAGGAAAAAGGCTACGAGGCTAGGACAGCCCTATGGCTAGGCGAGGCATTAGCCGAGGATAGCCCCATGGATAGCGCTAGGCATAGGCCTAGGATAGGCCTATGGCTAGCCTAGGCATAGGCCTATCCTAGGCCTATGGCTACCCTAGGCATAGGCCTAGGATAGGCCTATGGATAGCGCTAGGCATAGGCCAAGGATAGGCCTATGGATTGCCTAGGCATAGGCCTATCCTAGACCTAGGGCTAGCCTAGGCATAGGCCTAGGATAGGCCTATGGATAGCCTAGGCATAGGCCTGGGATAGGCCTTGGATAGCCTAGGCATAGGCCTAGGATAGGCCTATGGATAGCCTAGGCATAGGCTTAGGATAGGCCTATACCTAGGGTAGGCATGGACCTAGGATAGGCCTATGCCTACGGTAGGCATGGGCCTAGGATAGGCCGATGCCTAGGGTAGGCATGGGCCTAGGATAGGTCTATGCCTAGGCTAGGCCCCGGGAGTTCTATGCCCAAACAAAGCAAACGTCAACTTTTACTTTTATAGCATTAACTTATTGGTGGTTTTTGAGTTAGATGTCTACTCTTATCTGACTCTTGGCGCTACCAGGCCCGCTACAACTTGGAAGACCCAATGTCTTTGCGAAGTTCCTGGAAGATGCCAACATCGGCCTTGTTCGTGTTGAGAGCCTCATCTTGCATGGCCACCAAGAAACACTTAGAATCAATCAACAGGAATTGAATAAGAGGATCATGAAGAAGGATACAACAATCATTCAATCATTTCAAGAAGTATCGTCAAATTGAATCAAATGATTCCATGAACTGAGATTTGCGCAGGTACCTCTATCAGTTGCTCCGCACGAAGAGATGGTTGCCTCGCCGGCAAGAGGCTGAGGATGCCACGTGCGAGGTGCGTGGAGAGACGAAGTCTGCCTTGGTTTCGCACCACGAAGTAGGACAGTGGGCTTTGGGAAAAAAGGATGCAATGATCTGCTCCATTTCCCATGCGTGGGAAACGCGTGAGCATCCTGACCCATGTCTTTTTCAGTTGAAGAACCTAGTAAACGGTCTTTCCCTGTACGATGCCGCTTACTTCTCTGAGATTTGGGTATTCTATGATTACGTGTCACTGTTTCAGTGGCAGCGAAAGACAACAGTGCAAGAGAGAAGTTTCCGCCGTGCCATGGGAAACATGCATCTTATGTACGCCCACCAAAGCAGTCTCACCTTTCGGCTAGAATGTCTCACCCCGCCAGATGTTTGGGCCGCCGCGTGCGATGATGAGACCTTCAAGGTCCCCGTGTATCACGAGCCAAGTGGAACCGTTGTCTTCATCCCTCTAAGAGACTTGATGGCGAATGGTGTCGTCTACAATGGCCGAGGGTGGTGCATAGCGGAAAAGGAATGGTCCGCTGCCAGGAGCGTCTTGGGACAAAATATGGTCATGGATGGTGAGGCCGATGATGAATCAGGAGACCAGGAGACCAAGAAGGTCCCGACTGCGCCAGATGGATTCATCCGTCAAATGGAGACTTCCAACTTCACTCACAGGAATGATCAGAAAGATGTGGTCCACCTGCAAGAGAAGATATTTTACGAGAAAGTGACGGCGCGAAAGTACCTGAAGTTAAGTGATTTGACCCAGGCTCACTTGGTGGAGCTCACAGGATCCCTGCCGCACTACCAGAATCTCCAGGTCTTAAAGATCGAACTTTTTACTGGAGAGAAGGAACAGGTCATTGCTTTCGTTCAGGCCCTTCCACCATTCATCTCATTCAGAAATATTATCTTTTTTCAATGAGCCTTGTGTTGAAACTCCTTTCGTCCAATCTGCTTTTCGTGTTTTCGTCAATGCTCGGAGTAACATTTTGCGTGGCAGGCTTTGAGCACTCTGCCGTTGCAGAAGCTGCTCCTAAAGAATCTACGAGGTCCTGAAGGGATTGGAAATGTCCTGGCTGAGGCCAGGTCACTGGGTCCCTTTCGCAGTGATTTCTGTGGATTGCTTTGATGGTCGCTCCACCAGGCCTTGGCCGCGATCCTCACAGACCACAGGAGCCTCACTGAAGTGGACCTCTCCTACTGTGAGGTAAGTAACGTTGGTGCTAAGGCCCGGGCATTTGATATTCTGAAGCGATTTTCCTCAAACTCCGGCAGATCTTCACAAATTTGTTGCCTGCAGGCCTTGGCCAAAGCATTGCAGCGCAACACAACCCTAACCGATCTCAGATTCTATGGATGTGAGATTGATGATTTCGGGGTTGAGGCCCGGGTCTTGCAACTCTCAATTTTCCATTAGATGTCCACATCGCAGGCCTTGGCTGATGCCATGCAGCACAACAAGACCCTCACCAAGCTCCACTTCCGCGATTCTCCGTTTGGCCGTGTTTTTACTCCCGATGGCAAGGCCCCGGCAAAGCGATTTCGGAGGAAAGTGTCGGTGGCTCCGAAGAGTCGTTGCTCCTTTCACCGCTCTGCGACAGGCACTGGAGCGAATCTGGGAACGCATCAAGGCAAACCAAGAAGCTGCTGCAGAGGCTTCTGGAAGTCGACTGGGTGAGAACACTTTGCTTCCAGTTTTGAGTGAGCTCCTTGTTGCGTGTTTTATTTCTATTTTTTCGTTTTCCTTGCTCCTCTTTTTGATTTGAGCAGATGATGTTACATGGTTTCATTGGCTTGATGTGGCCATCGGGGGTCGACACATGTTCGCCTCGCTCCTGCATCACTCTTCTGGTCCGGAACTTGCGGACATCTTCCGGCTCAGAAGTCCAGGTGGTGCAAAAGGAGGCGCAAGGGTGCAAAAAGGAGGAGGAAGAGGAGGAGCAAGCCGTGGAGATTCACCGCAACATCATGTGCGATGGTTGTGAAACAAAACAACCACTGATTGGCAAGAGATACAAGTGCACGACATGCGCGGACTACGATCTTTGTCAAATTTGCCATGCAAAACGTGACTCGATCCACCCTGGGCATGAGTTCGAGAAGATTCCTGGTGTCTTGGAGCGACCTCAGGCTGGGGTTTGGTGTTTCAGACAGGTTTTTGAATAAACTGAAGGCAGTGGAATAAGGACCCAGGATCCTGAAGCGATAACATGTTGTTTGTTTGAGAAGCCGCCACAGAATGACAGTGCTGGTTGCTTTTGAACAAATACTGTACTTTGGAAGTAAACGGTTTTTATTCCCGGGAGCGTTGCGAAGGGTTCTTCTTTAGACATCGTTTGCATTATCGATTTGCATCAATACATTTGGGATTTTCATAGCTGCATTGGTATGGATGCTATACTGTTTCCTTTTACAGAGAAGTCAGAACCTAACAATATCGGTCAGTCATCTTGACATGTTCACGAGACTTCGACTGGCACTTTAGGCCCAAGTGTGTCCCCGCAAAAGGGTTCGCGCCGCTTTGCATGGTAGCGGAGCCCCGGTCATAAGAGCCGGGGCCCGCTAGGCACTACGACAGCCACAACGTGGCCACGATCTGCGCTGGTTGGTGGAAGCCCGAGAGCAAAGGGCATGTGGACTTGTGAGCTTTTGGTGCTCGCGTGCCTGGCAGGAGGCATCAGTGCCCCGACCTTGCAGGAGATCAATTTCTACAGCCCTGGCCAAGTGATTTCGAAATCGTGGAAGACCAAGAAGAGGCAGTTCCACTCGGTGTTCATCGAGGGCGACGTCTACGTTGGCAAGGTCAAGTGGGTAAAGTCATCGAAGGCTGTAAAGGCCTCCCTCCTGGTCCGGGAAGAATAAGAAAAGGAGACCGCTTCGTGAGGTGATCGTCGTAGTTCTTAGCAGCTGGTCCTTCATAGAAAGGCTCGAGGCGAAGCAGGAAGAGATCCAGCGAGGCAAAGTCTGTGCTTTGGTGGCACAGTGGAGGTTTTGGGAGCTCATCGCCCACACTGAACAGAGCTTCATAGAACAAGACAGTGAAGGAGGAGCAGACTGGAGCACCAGGATTTACTATCCAAAGCCTTCGAAGCTGGAAGCAATGGCTGAGGAGAGCTTGAGAGACTCATCTCAACAGCTTTGAAGAGGTTGCAGGTTTCCCAGAGCACCCAGGCTTGGTCCCGGCATTTGAAATCGCCGGACGTGTTCAAACCATAAACACGTGATCATGAACTTCGAGGATGGAGTGATTGGAAGTTTGCGTTCTGCAACTACCTCTCCCTCTCCCTCTCCCTCTGTCAGGGGCATCGATCCCGCCCTTGCAGCAGCTATGGAGGCTGTGGAGAAGGACATGAATGCAGACTATGCCCTGGATGACATGTCAGAGGAGATGCAGGGCGTGGCTATCAGGTTGTACAATTTGTTGACTTCCTACATGAGGCAAAGGCCATCGAAGTTGGTGCGCCATGTGAGACAGGAGAACGGTTTCGCTGCATGGCAAACTTTGCTTAAAGAAATGCAACCGGCAACACATGCCAGGAGTCTAGCTCTACTGACTCAGCTGTCCCGTGTGCAATTCGCAGAGGGTAAAAACGCTCAGTGAACAACTCCCTCAATATGAAGCTTTTGCGGCTGAGTATGAGAGGATTTCAGGAAGAGAGTACGGTGAGGACGCCAAGGTGGCTTCAATACTGCAGGCCTGCCCCAGCAACATGAAGCAGCGCTTGCAGCTTTGGGTGGACGATGCAACCACCTATGAGTCACTGAAGAACAAGATCCATCACCTTGAGGCTTTGACTACGAGATGGGAAGCCTTGAACAGTTTGACCTTCCTACACGAGCCAGTGGAGACGAGCCTACACCCTATGAAGGTCGACTACATTGGGAGGAGAAGGGCAAGAAGGGCAGAAAGAAAGGGAAAGATGCCAAAGGCAAGAACACAGGAAAGGAGAAAGGAAAAGGAAAATATAAAGGAAAGGGAAGCTGGAAGGGAGCAGGCCAAGAGACAGGCAGGAGCCAAGAGCACCTGGGAGAAAAGTCCATGGAAGAAGCCTGAGAAAGGCAAGAGCGACAAAGGTGGAAAGGGCAGCAAAAGTGGTGCATGCCATGTCTGTGGCAAGCAAGGACACTACGCCAAAGACTGTTGGAAGAGAGTTCAACAGGTAGAAGACCAGCAGAACCCAGCAGGAGCATCAAGTTCGTCTACAGGACAGACTGGTGGTGGAGTTGGCAGTACTACTACATCATCTGTGAAGATGGTACGTGCGCTGAGGTGTTTGATTTGACTACACCACGAACGGCTGCAGACAGTGAACGACATCCATGGAGGATTCAATTGGTGAGGCTGGCGGAAAACTTTGAGAGATCAGAGCCGTTGGCTGATGCAGAGGAAGAAGAGGTGTTCTATATGAGTGCCTTGAACCAGCAGTTTGAGCGCCTGGAGGAGTTCCTATCGTTGCACTGGACCTACAACAGGTGGAGGCTGAGGAGACCGCCTTCTACATGATCCAGATGGTCAGCGTGAGAGAAATGGATGAGGAGGAATGCCTTGTGACTCTCTGCCGTGTCTGTGCTGCCGGTCAGCTATGGCAGTGTGGGAGAATGGGGGCCAGGATCAAAGGAGTTGAAGATGGTGGATGCTCAAGGAAAGAAGATCGAGCATCAAGGCTTGACACGAGCCAAAGTTCGAATCAAAGACATCAATGGCAAAGAGATTGAGATCATTGAGGAGTTCATCCTTGGAAATGCTCAGCGCCCCATCATGTGCGCTGGCCGCCTACTCCGAAAAGGTTGGAGCGTTCAATCCAAGGAGAATGGGCTGCAGCTGTGCCATGGTGATCGTGATATCAACATCCCCATTATAGCAATGAGAAGCATTCGCTGCAGTTTGAGGCCAGAATTTATGGTGTTGAATTGAAGAGTGATCAGTCGATGGAGGAGAACAGGGTATTGGTTCTACGTGGCTATCTCAGCCGCTATGTGGAAGAACTGGAGTATGTGCCTGGCTGGCATCGTTTGCCAAATGGCGTGGTCGCACACAGTGACCCAGTTGCGGTCTACATGACGGACCCCAGCCAGAGCATTGAGGGTGATTGGAAGGCTTTTTGGAGGCAAGTCGAGAACGTCGAGAACTACAAGGAGCTTGGAGAGAAGGCCTTTCGGAAAGTGAGCGCAGACAAGAACCCAGAGAGAATGCTCACGTTCTTTTCACCCTGCAGACTCTTGGACTACTGGGCACCAAACTCAGAAGTACCAGTTCATCCCTACCCTGTGAACCAACAGGAGAGATCAGACACATCGAGTGGTCAGATGAAGAAGAGCAGGAGAGAGAAGAGGAGTTGGAAGAACAAGTCGAAGCACAAGACATGGAGAAGAGGTATGTCTTGGAGAAAGGAAATGAGGTCGAGCTTGATGAGGTGACCTACAATGAGAAGAACAGAGCACCGTGAAGGAATTGCAGCTTGCGTGCAAAGCAAGAGGTTTGCCATATACAGGAAGCAAAAATGGTTGCTGTCGAGGCTGATTGCCTTCAAGGTCGATATTGAAGACAAATTCCAGATGAGCATTGCAGCGTTGCAAGCAAGTTGTTCAAGGAGCAGCAAAGGACGCCCATGACCTTGGGACAACCGAAATTGCCCTCCTGGCCTGAACAGGAGCTTCACTTTGTCACGCACTGGCCTTATGCCCCATGGTGTCAGGCATGTGTGGCTTCAAGAGCCAAGGAAGACAAACGCAAGGCAAGCCAGATTTGGGCACAGCTATCATCCAGTTGGACTTCATGTACACTTACACAGGTCCTGAAGGCTGCATGGAGGAGCCAACACAGGGCAGAGTCCAAGAAAGGCAAGACCAATATGGCACCTGTTTGATCATGGCTTCAACAGAGAGAAAGGCCATCCATGTTGTGCCTGTTCCAAGCAAAGGCGCAGCAAGCTTGAAGCAGGTGACAGAAGAAGTGATTCGGTTTTTCACTTGAGAATGCTGGCAGAGAGAAATGCATTTTCCAGGCGGACTCAGAGAGGGCAACCCGCCAGATCCTGAGGTCAGTTCAGCAGGTCAAGAAGTGACGGGGATGCAGACTGAACTACGACTTTGCAGGAGCAGGTCAGCACGCCTCAATTGGGTTTGTGGAACGAGCAGTGCAAGCAGTGAGTAGGCTTGCAAATTGCTTGAGATCCTTTGCTGAAGAGCGAGCACGACTCTCCATCCTAGGAGGCAACCACCTATACCCTTGGTCGTTCAAGCACGCATCATTGCTGATCAACAGATATCGTGTGCTGGAGGGTTAGCTACAGGGCATGAATATCGTGGCAAGCTCGTGCTCGGTGTACAAGAGGATGATTCGGCGCAAGGGCTGAAACGTGTTTGCGCAAGGCATCTCATGTGGCAAGCATTCGTTCAACGATTGTCACATCGTGTTGACGCCAGAAGGAGCATGTGAGGCCAGGACAATTCGAAGGTTGGCGCCAGAACAGGCATTCAATGGTCCAGCTATGATCCCCTGCAGAGGACTGCCCTGGGCATACT